GTTTTACATGAAAATTTAACAATATGTAAATAAGTTTGTGCCAAAAAAACATAGAAGAAAAAAAAAATAGTTAATCAACGGAACTTTTAGCTAAGATTTTCAGCCAGCGCACAAAGGCAAGCAAAACACGATCTAGAAGCCTTACTAGCTCCTCCAAAAATAGAGAGAACAGGACAGATTAGCTTCCAAATTGCTTCTCCATCAAGACTTCATCATCACAAGAACTTCATCTACTATGGGACAATCAAGAACAATGAGTCAATGACTTTGATCTTCTTTCATAGCCTATTACTCTTTGCTTACTCCAAAATTTTCTCGGTCTTTACCCTAAACTTTAAGGCGCACAGAAGTTCCATATATCATTTTTCTTTACTTTGATTTATTCATTGTTTACTGAAATAATTATTGTTATAAAAGATGTATTTGATATGTAAAGTATGCCCGATGATCCATATTCCATGATTGTTAAAGAAATCAACAGTGATTTATTTAACGTTCTAAACTAAAAAAAAATTATTTGGTAAAACAGGTTTGATGAGACTAAAAACATGGTCGAACAAGTTATTTGTTACGCTATGCAAGTCAATAATTTTGTAGAGAAATCATAATATTGACAGACATCTCGAAATGAACCGCGATAAAGACAATATCTAAAACCAAATAAGCCAAAGTTTTCAGTTATGAAACGGAATGATTCGTTAAAGTAACTAATTCTTTAAATTAAATAAATATTAATCAAAAACAATTTTGCTTGTATATACAGCTATTCATCTGGTAAACATTAGTAAAAAAGACAAGGGTTTTAACATTTTCAAGTGATACAGCTAGCATCGTTATTTATACAAATATCATTGATCATATGAAGTATGAACTAGTCCTGAAACAATCAGTACTCGACTAGAGTTAGATCTGCAGTATTTATATATAACTATGGAGAATTTATACATTTATCCTAATAAAAACCTAAGAAGTCGAGATTTCCATCCATGACCTGCTCGAGCTTTACTTTCTCTTCTTCCTTGGACTTTTTCCATTGGACGTCGCTCTTTCTTGCACAACAAGAAATTCGTTACATCCATTGAACCTATCTTCTCGTGTGGATTCAAAGCTAAAAACAAAAACAGTGATACAGAAAATGAAACCAAATTAGTCGATCTCCATAAGAACTTTGTATACTTATAATTTCAATACACAACCTTAAAACATGCAAACAGTTCACGTGGTTTTTTCTATTTTATAACCGAATATATTGGAAAAGAATAAGTGAAGAGTGGTGAAGGGAGTATACTGTTGAATCCGCCATTAATGGAGTAGAAAATGAAGTTATCAACGTCGAATCCTAGAACAGGTATCCTGCCTTGACGAGCATAGGTTTTCAAAGCTGTGTTAATAACACTTGAAACTTTATCATCTTCATTAGCCAAAAACCTTATAGGACCAACACTTCCAAGAACTTTCACATTCACCAACAACTTTTTCTTCTGCTCTTTCATCATTCCCTTTTACATTCCCAATTTTATCTCCTTTCTTATTTGCATTGAGCTCACATGCACAATGGTTGCATTTTATAAGAGGCAAAAAAGAAGGGCATGAAAGTTACGTGTTAGGAGTTTAATCTATTGAGAGACTATTCAGAAGAACCTATAATACGCTTCATTCATATAAAAGTCCCGACAAAATAAGTTAGAGAGATTTTCTATTAAGACCATGAAATTTCTTCTTATAATTAATCGTTGATATCCATAGAACCACCAAAGTGATCTACATTTGTTAAGTGATTGATGGTTATTGGTAACTAGCTGGTTTATTGTATATGTTGTACATATATAAAATTTGGAGAATCTAATTCCATTGGCTTGTTTGCTCAAATGCGGAAGCGTCACCTATGGTGATGAAGAGATATCAATTAGTGGAATCTCTTGTGAAGCTATTGCACCACAAGATATATATAATCAATGTGGATCGATATGTACCTATTTATTCTCCCATGCAAAAGTCAATAATGGCCTAGAGGATTTAGAAATAATTGACCGGTTGACAAAGTCAAACATAATTAAGCTCAATGTTTCATTATTACTCTCTTTGTTTTTAATTACTTTTAAGCTGTTTAAGACTTTTAAGTATTGACCATTTTAACTTTATTTTTACTAAAAGTTATACTATAAATTTTTTCTTTAAATAATAATTATTATAGGGATAATTAAAAAAAATTGCACATATAAAATTGAGAACATCTAAATTTCTGAAACAAGAAAAATAATTGAGTAAATATTAGCGTGGGTTAATTAGTTGTGTAGCCAAATTCCTGGTGGGAATTAGAAAAATGAGTGAATGACCATGGTCCTTTTTTCTTTTAGCACATTAATGACTTTAAATCTAATTGTAGAAAAGATGAATTCACTCCTCACATATTAGGCAGCTAGTGAAGTTTAATGCGCCATTGAAATACAGCTGAAAAATGAGACCACGTGAACGTGGTTCTGGTTCAGATCAATCGAGAAATACAATCACAACAATTAATAAAATAAAAATAATTTTGTGGAGTTCATGTAAATTAATAACATGTGTTTTGTAACAAATAGAATTTTTGATAGCGACCAATGCGAGATAAATATTTCGGTGGAAAACATATCAAATTAATTGCGGTGCATGGTACAATATATATTTCATGCATGGAAGTTATAGATAGTGTAGACTGTAGAACTTGTGTAGATTGCAGGATTATTGTCTATTTCAATCGTAATGAAAATTATGTTTTGTTTTTGTCAACTTGCGTGACTAAATTCATTAGAATAACTAGTTAACCAAATCGGATGAGTATGAGTTTACAAAAGTCAAATCATTGAAGCGAAATTCAGCTCTATGTACCAGAGAATGTATTACATGTTTTCTAGAATAGTATTATCTTTTGTATAAACAAACTGTCCTTTTTAAAAAATGTTAATCTACACATATTCGGAAAAATTGCCATTAGTACTATCTTCTGAAATAACTTCGTCTTCTTTTTTTTTTTTTGTAAAATGAACTGGAAGTTTAATTAAAAAGATCTATGAAATAAGCATTAGGAGAAAATAGTAAAAAAAAAAAAACAAAAAAACATGTTAGTATTTAACAAACATAACATGTATTATAACTATAAATCTATAACTAGATTTTAACCCCGTGCGTCCGCACGGGAATGTTTTATTTTTTATTTCTAATATAAATTGTATTTATATTTTTTGTTTAGATATAATTTATTTTTGTTATTTATTTTTTTCAAATCAAAAAATTGTTATCATATTTTAATTTTCAACAGTAAAATTTGTATATTAGTAGAATAAGAGTATACGTTAATTAAGTATACATTGATCTAATGTTAATTATAAACTTTATTATTATGTGAATTTAGATTTACATATAAACAATCTATATATCTATGAATTTGCTAATCTATTCGTTTAGTTGTCTTAAATCATTTTTAATATCTTACATGTTTTGAAAAACTAACCCTTATAAGACTAAAATTATAATTGTATAACCCTATAAATATTTACTAATATTATTTGGACCAATTGATTATGAAAAAATATAATAAGATATTTATTTACTATTTGTGCTATTAAAAAAAATATATATATATAAATAAACGGGCTAATCTGTTAGTTTAATTGTCTCAAATCATCTTAATATCTACATGTTTTAATAAATTAACTCATGGACC